AAATAATTTACTAGTATGTCCATTGACTGTAAAAAAAAAGGGGGGGATCGGAATGGGAGAGGTGAAGGTACCCACTTCATTTAAATATGAGGGGAGAATTAAAGCGACATGTACTATTACCGTAATTTGCTGTGAAAAAAAAATCAGGTATTTGTGAATAAATAAAAAGAAACGAGTTAGTGCATGCACACTTAAATATTCAAACTGCGGATTTTTGTGCCACGTCGTAAATTAAATCGATTTGAAATCCTCCATACATCATGTAAAAAACATAGTAAAACTAAAGAACTTATAAAGCATGATAAAACACACTTGTATTTTTGCACCGAATTATATTTCGATTGAAAAAGACCCCAAACATTTAGTGCTATGTAATATACATTTTCATTTTGCCCAATACGTCTGAAATGTAAGAAGAACAGCAGTTTTTTTAGCTTTAGTTTTAATCGTCATAATTATCAAGATACACAAAGGAAGAAAACATAACACACTGAATACCATCCTGAAACAGCCACATCAATTGATTGCAATCAAAACATTTGACCGGCAGCTGCTTATCATATGTTGGCGAAGTCTTTGTTGTAATGAAGGTCATTAAACTTGTTAAAAGTCAGGTGGTTGAATTTTTTTTCTTAATATATATCGAAGTTTTGTTTATATATTTTGCATTCCCTTTATCATTGTTTATATATATCGAAGTTTTCTTTATGTATATCGCATTTCCTATATATATATATATATATATATATATCGAGGTTTTCTTTATAAAAATCGCATTTCCAATATATATGTATCGAAGTTTTCTTTATGTATATCGCATTTCCTTTATATATAGAGGTTTTCCTTTATATATTGCTTTTCCTTTATATATATCCAGTTTTGTTTACATATATCGCATTTCCTTTATATATAGAGGTTTGCCTTTATATATTGCTTTTCCTTTATATATACAGGTTGGCACTAATAGGCTTCCATACATAGCAGATCTTGCAAAGCTGGCGCAAACAACCTGCAGCAGACACTTCTCTGTGAATTATTAAGCACTATTGACTCTTTCTACTAGTGATCTAACTGTCGCCTTGACCTCTAGATTGTCAAAGATATTATTGAGTTTGGAATTCTAATATTTACTGATGGGATTATGAACTTAATCGATAAATCTTGAAATTTCGAGGTATAAATGATTTCCGCGATCCCTATGCATGAGTCTTAACCCATAACTAAACATGAAACACACATGTAAACTAACTTGAGTAGATATCCTCCTTTTTGTATAACATTTGTTGGAAATAGTTACTTCCATAACTCATGAAGCATATCTACACTCGACCATCTCTCTCTCTCTCTCTTTCTCTCCCTTTCTCCCTCAAAAGAAATTAATCTAAATTGGTTGCATAAGCATTCTATTATTTGAACAGAAACTTCGAATCTTATTAACTTTGAAGGAGTTATTAATAACGATGAATGCGGTGATCAAATGACAAGTGCCTATAATCTGCTTTATCCAATTATATTATTACAAAGCGATATGAAAAGAGGCTAAAATATAAAATTGCTATAAACGTGAAGCAGTCTAAGGGCCAATTTGATAGTAATAACTGGCGTGACATCTCTTAAACAGATGTGTTAAGCTGACACACTAATCAAGGGATCAATTACCTCGCCAGCACATATCCATTTTACTTCTCGTTCTAGAGATCATAAACCAATCGTACCTCCAACATCGGAGAATTCCGATCAATAATGGGAGATAACACACTAGAGTGAAATGATTGTGAATTTATCAAATAAATGGACAAAAGATGAATCCCTGGTACTTATCTGATATTAATGGGTAATCATAAGGCTGCAGCAACTATTATGCTATTCAATTATCGGTGAAAATCGATTCAAAGTCTCATTTAATATGAATAAATAAAAGACATCTTATCAATATTTCACATTTTGATCTGTTGGCGGTGTTTTGATTTAATATATTAATTTTATGTTCATATTATTCTCAAGTATATTATAACTTTAACTTACATACATGTAGTCTTCCTCTTTGATAGAAGTGGCTTGCTTATCAAACTTTACCCTCTGTCATTAATATTTGGAGTTACGCAGATATGCGTATTTTATCTGTTGATTTTATAACGTCAAAAGAGCGTAGGAAGCATTTGCTCGACAGTTGTACAAAATTAAAAGCAAAACAAAGGAACATAACAGCTACTGCACTAAGATTTAAATCGTGATAATAAAAATACTCAGACTGTTTTGCTTCCTTTTTGAAACCTTTATTAAATGGGAATTTTGATAATCGATGTCAGAAGGAAAAAACAAATGTTATATCGTATAGCGGGTTATTTTCGCGGGATGCTGAATTTAGCTTATTTTGACGTTTTGATGGTACATGTAGCCAGATAAAAATTTAATTTCTGAAATAGTCAGTACTGTTCTTGGTGTTCATTTGCAAAGAGCTGAAACACTGTGTCCACTAAAATAAGTTAGTCCAAAATTATTGGCAGTCATTGGAGCAGGAAAAACGTCAAATTTTACACACTCAAGAAAACCCGCTATACGTTATTACATTGTGTTTATTATAAAAATTCATATTTCCGTTTAAAAATAATTTTATTGTATTTAAAGGAACATTCAGAATAACATATGTTTTCATTTTTTCTTTCTTTTTAAAATTTATATTGAATTGATTTTCTTGCCATCTCATGAAATAAAACTTTTGAAACACTGACGGAATTAAAAAAAAAGTTATTACTTTGCACCAAAGGAAGGCTTTAATGCTTTTATTATCTCTATCGAATAGTTTTCAAATAAAAAAAAATCAAGCTATGGATCACAGAGAGAGAGAGAGAGAGAGAGAGAGAGAGAGAGAGAGAGAGAGAGAGTTTAGATTTCTCAACTTTTATATGGATCATCCTGATATATTGCAGTTAAAAAAATATCACAGAAAATGACGCCATTTAAGATTCTGTAATTGTGTGGTTTCTATCATTGTCCAGCCAAATGTTGAAACGCATCTTTTTTTCCGGCAAACGACAGTCTGATTTGGTGATATTGGGGGAAACATATATTTTGCAAAGTTGATGATGAAAATGTTTTGTCCCCGAGTTACATGCATTCTTATATTTCATTTTTGCAAAAGCAAAAAAAAAAATATTTTGGCGTTATTCATGGATTAACATCCGTTGTTGACAAGGGATAAATTTATTTATCTATTTATTTATGCATTTATTTATATTTTTTTTTTGTCGGATCTACTCGTCTACTCTTCATTTTTTTTTTTATAGTTTTATTTTATGTTCCACATAGAAAAGAAACCATTTTTTATATTTAAAAAAATGTGAAAATTAAAGATTATAACATATTATACTACTAAGCAAAAAATACTGCAATGAAACGGAAATTACATTCCTTTACATCAACAAGGAAAACATTTAATCATAGCAAATACATTAATTATTTTCCAAAATCTGCAGATATCTTTTAAAATCCATGATGAAGTCTAGTTCTCTGAAAGGTAGCATGCGTTCAATTAAATGCAGCAAAAAATAGATTACTTAGCTTATAGGTCCCGCATTAAATGTCAATCCATATTATCTATGTCAGTGGATCATGTAAATTCCATTCGATAACACGGGAAGTTGGTGCAGACTCATTTTCACATCATTTTAAAGCTTAATGCATCCAGGATATTTGACATAAGAATTTGCATCCGATTTATCTATGGATGGTGACTTTTTTTTCGGAAATATTAATTTTATTTAAAGCATAATTTACAATTACAGGTGGTTACTGTTAATTACATTAGAATACATTTTTAGGCTGTATTTTCTTTATTATAGCTAGGGGGTTGATGAACATTTGTAAACGACATTACACTCATTTTCCTCAGACCAGAAATTTAAATGGTTAATGTCTTATACTTGTATAAGAAACTCACTGTGGGGCTTTGAGTTCGGTCCTTCGGATGAGACCGTATAAAACGAGGTCCAGTGTTGCAGTAGATATAAGCATGAAAACGATATCTCGTTGTTCAATGGCCGTAAGTTCCGAGTATAGGACAAAATTTGCAGCTCTTCATCGGCAAGTAGTGATGTCTCCATGTGAGTGAAATATTCTGGAGAGGGACGTTAAACAACAAACAAATAATATACCCTACAAATACATATTTAGATGGTTTGTCGAAGTTTAATTATTAAATATTTTCATATTAAACAATTTTATTTAATCATGCGCAAGTAAATATTTGATGTGGTAAATCTTCTATTGACGGTCACCAAGCAATGCTTTAATCATAACAAAAAAAATCTATACATGAAAGTAGCAACCTCTGTGTTGTTTTGGTAATATTTTTGACATTATTGAAAATTTCAACTAGCAATCAAAGAAAGTATATGGCATCAAATTCTCTTTTTTTAATTGTGCTTCTCTAATACATGTGCTGCGGAAATTTTCCTTGTTGTCTTAAAACTGCAAAACCTTTGTTTATTTTCTACTTGCTAAGTAATAGTAAACGTTTTTATCGAAATTAAATTTATTTGATAACGTCCCGTTGAAAAAAAATTCACTCATTGAGATGCTACCATTTGCCTGTGGAGGACTGCACATTTTAGGGCTTTCAAGCGATGAAGTATATTTGCCAGCACCGAAATGGAATGGAAGAGGGGGCCTCGGTTTATAAGGCTTTATTTGAGGCCGGTCTACTTGTCCCGCGCTGGGATAAGAATCTGCGCCTTGGACTCTGTGAATTTAAATCAAATGATTCGATACTGCATCAAGCGCCCTCGTGCATATTTGACATGAATTTTGCATTACATACTTCTGTCACCAAACAAAAGATTGTAAAGGAACACAAAGGGTAGTTCCTTAGCAATTCTATTTTTGTACAAGGTAAATAAATGACATTCATTTAAATCTTCAGTTTTGCATTTTACCCATTCATGAACATCTTTCAACAATAAAAGTTCAATTCAAACATTGTCATCTATATGGAATTCATTATTTATTCTTATTTTTTTGGAACAGTTTCACAAATCAAAACATAAATTCACTGACAAAGTGCAGGATAAGAAATACACATTGGGTCCACTGTTGTTGTTGTTGTTGTTGCTGGAGTTGTTGTGGTTGCTGCTGATGTAGATGTTGTTTGTGTTGTTGTTGTTTGTTGCGTTGTCGTGGGTTGTGCTGTTGTTGTCGTCGGTTGTGCCGTTGTCGTCGGTTGTACTGTTGTCGTTGGTTGTGTAGTCGTTATTGCTTGTGTTGTTGTTGTGGTCGGTTGTTCTGTTGTTTGTGAAGTCGTTGTAGAACTAACTGTCGTAGTTGTTGTAATTGAAGTTGATGAGTGTTCGGTGGTTATTTCATTACTCACTGTAGTTGATTCCACAGCAGTAGTTGATGTCTGTTCGGTTGAAGGTTGAGTGTATGCGTTCTTTTCCTATATAAGGAGAGTGTTATATGACTTATATGATCTCATTGTAATCTGAATGCAATTTCCACAATTTCTATATTACAAGGTAAATGGCATCTATATTTTGTTCTCATTCTCATTCTTGTAGTATAAAAATGTTGAGTTGTCACTGCAAGCTCTTTATTAAACATATGGGCAAAAACACGCTAACCTCATGAAGAAAGACACATAAAAATATTGCTGCATGTGCAATTAAAAATATAAACATATTTTAAATAAATGCCTTTCTTCAAATAATCTAAGTGCTTCATTTCATTTTATAAACGGTTTTCAATTTGCAAATGTAGTCATGCTTGCTTGATTTCATAAAAAATAGAAATAGATATATTTCACACATACTATGTAACTGAAAGAAATGAACTAATTATAGAAATCATATCATTTTGTTTACAATGAAAATCTTCGTAAAATTTGAAATTTTCTGAAATACCTTGGAAAACAGGATACACACGATGTTTGAGGCTGAATGTCCGCAGTTTGTTCTGCTAATCGCCGTATAATCCGTACAATTCTCTGTTTGTGCATGTTTGCAAACACTAAATTTCATGCATGTTGGCGACGTTCCACAATTAAAGCTACATTCTGAAGTTGACAATGTAATCGTTGAAGTCAAAACAGTGTTATTTTCATCGTAAAGCTGACAAAATTGTGATTGTCCATTGGCTCCAGCATGTAAAACGATCCAGCAAAGCAAAATCTTTGACCAAAGGACACTAAGCATAGAGTTTCCCATGTCTTAAGAAACTAATTTTGGAAGTCTTTATCAGTTTATCCGTTTTTAAAAGCAAGAATGTCGTTTGAGAGCAGTCTGTTGTCCTTTACTTCATCAGAATAGCGTTTTGATCCTTGTTGCTATACGCTTTTCATCCGCCTTGCTGTTCATGTGTTTTGGTTCAATGGCCAGAAGCCATTGCCTCTCTGCGAAATAATCATATCTGATGTGATATGCACCGGATGATGCCTTATAATGCATTAGCTATATTTTTTCATGTATTTTATTCTTCTGATAACAAATTCACTTTTTGGTTCGATAAATAATTGGCTCAATTAGTGAAAAAATAGGAAAATGATGACGGCAAAAAAGAAATGTTAAGAATCAAACATTGTATCTTTTGAAATATTTAAACTTTTGAAAATTACGTGTCTTCCAATTTTAAAATTTTAAAAAATTCTTAATCTTTAACTTCTGGTTGACAATAAATCAAATTATGTTTACTTAACATAATACTTTAATTATACGCCCTGAGGCAAAATAACAAAGCGCTAAATAAAATTATTCATTTATTCACATCTTATCAAATTGCAAAATGTTAAATGATTTTTTTTTTCATTTCAAATATAACTCTTTTTCGTTCCGAATCCATTTCTCATTGTATCATGAAGTAATCCTTGAAAGGAAAAAAGATGATAATTAATTGCATTGTGAGTATATTACATGCAACAACGAATCTCAGCATGTCTGTTCTGAAATCTTCTCTGTTTGATTCAAATCATTTCTTTTTACTACATCTGAAAAATTAGTCTGGCGTGCATTTTATAATTCTTGTTTTGTCCTTGGTAATGAAAGGCTATAGGGGGTAAATACATTCAAAAATGTTGTTGAATCAATATGCAATTGGTTTCAGTAAATAATATGGAGATGGAAAATAGAGCGCCAGGTCGATAAATTTTCCAAAAACAGTGTGTGATCATAATTAAGCATATAAAAACGGATTATTAAAAAAATGACTTTTTTGCGGATAATAATGTTTTTATGTATAAATCTATTTTAAAAAAGCATTGCAGTGCAAACATGAGTAATATTAAATATGGATGCATATGAATTAATATAATACCCTACGAATTAAGTGATTTAATTTAGTACCTTCTTAAGGTGTTCTGCCAATATTACGCAATTAAAAGCCCGAGGACGAAGAATTTGTTACAGTATTTAGGAAATGAATCACTGAGTAACATATAGATAACCTTTCTCTATAGACTGCAAAAGCATAATATATATTCAGATGTCTTTTGATAGCAAAATTGGACAAGGAGACTTTGAGAAATCATGTTTTCGAAAATATTTATACTTTAAACCATCAACCATACTTAGGTTTTGGTCTGACTTTGCAAGAGCTGCATAGATGAAGGTTTGTAAAAATAAAATATATTAACAAAGAATTGTTTATGTTAAATATTGCCATTACACGTACATAATAGTATAATATTTTTTTTACATAGTAATTGTACAGCTATAACAAAAACAGCATTATTTACTTTAAGAAAAATGCAGTGCAATAAAACGCAATAATTTTATTTTTCAATTTTAAGAAATAAACATTTTTTTTTCACTTTAAAAGGCTAATGATGTTAAGTATTTTAAAAAAAAAAAAAAATCCAAGTTCCATGAGAGGATCAAAAGCAAAATATTTCCTTATACATGTTTTCGCACACTCTCTGTTTTCTCCAAATATGAAACAGAACTCATCAGTAGCATCAATGCGACTTTAAACGTAATTTCTGCTATGAGTGCAAATCGTTTCTCACACTTGCACAGCTCAAGCTACTAAACTAGAAAAACGCCTTGTATATATATGAAATGCTTTGCAAAAGGAATTAATTATTAGTTTTCATTACTATCCACCAGAAAATGTTAGATCCGTTTATTAAATTATATAATAAAAAACTGCTTAAGTTTTATTTTTCTTTTCGGATCACGTATATTTTTTATAAAGAAACTATAAATCTTCACTTTGGGGTGTTTTGCGTTCAGAGAAATAGAATTTTTTAAATAATCAAATTTTAGAACGATACAAGCTCTTAAAATAAGTTTGAGAACATGATAAAGACACCCATTAGTTAAAAACAAAACAGATAATAAAACAAAGCATTCTCCTTTTTCATCATAACGGGAATTTTATCAGAGGGTTTCAATACTTCCAATGTCGACGTCACATCTGCCAAAAAAAAAAAAAAAAAGAGAATTTAAAGAAGACGAATTCAGTATTAATATAACTGTAGTTGAGATGCAGATACCTTCTATATTAAATGTTATTTATTGGAGAAAAGTAGATTAATCAGGTCTATTGATTTCATTGTTATGTTTTTCTTTTTCATTGGAGACATGCAGCCGTGTTTTTACATGTATTTAAGCCAGGATTTCCTCTGATATCCTTGACAACATCACAGAATGCAAATACAAGCCATAAACATGAACAGTAATTATTCATGAACATGGCGTTATGAATAGCAGTAGTTCTGCTAGCTAGCGCGCATCATGGAATATGTCAGCAGCGCAATTCATAAAGCCATCTTCACGGAATAACGTGGTTTAATTCGTAAATAATTTTATGAGACAATTACCATAACAAATTCATCTCAGATGCAATATGGGAAATATCTAATTTATACTACTTATGGAACATGTTTGAAAAAAAAGGGCGTTAATCAAAAATGGATATCCAAAACCTCATGGCAACATTTAGAACACTTTAAAAGAAAAAAAAACTCAACAAAAAAAATAATAAATAAAATTCCAAAGAACATTTCGAAATTCTGAAAAGAAATACCAGAAATAATAGACTGTAGACCGTACGACTTTTCAGCACTTTATACAAGCATTAATCAAAGATGATATATTTTGACATTTTTATGAAATATTTCCTAAATAATACTCGGAGTCATTAATTTACATAAATAATTAACACTTTGTCAAAAGCTTAATAAAAACAATCGGAAAAAAAAGTACTATGATAAAATAAATAAAATTCCAAAACGAATTTCGATTTAACTGGGTGAAATTTTTCTCTTTCATTAGAAAACCTTTTTGAAAGTGAAGTAGAATATATTTTAAGAACCAGAAAAAGATAATAAGTGCAACATGTAATATTTGCGTTGTTTATCTATCATTTAATAATTTTCAAATAAATTTTCTTATAAATCGATATTCCATTGAACATTGAATTAAAACCACTATATAATTATTTATTAGAGAAAGACAAGCATTAATTCAAATAGAAAAACTGATATATTTTGAAATTTTTATGAAATATTTCACCTGCGGTTATAAACTTCTACTAGTTGTTTAAATAGGCAAGAGAATGTTCTTAATTTTTTTTTACATAATATAAAATTAACTGATTTTTCAATATGTACAATTGATATTTTGTCTTTGATAAAAACAATCGTGATTAACTTTTTTCTGAAACAAAGTAATCTATTGTCAGGGCCGTAACTGATATCGACATTTTTTTGTTTTTGGAAATAAGAAACACAACACAAGCAGCTAAATGCATTTATTTGTTTGATTATAGCCACCTGAGCAATTTTTCGATCCATCTTACCTATGCTCGGCGTTCAGGGCCTTTGAGCAGAGAGGGATCTCTATCGTGCCACAGCTGTGACACGGGGCTTCGGTTAACTTTATGATCTATTTCGTCCCATTTCGAACTACGGCGATCGATCATTTTAGAACTGCATTTCTCTATGATAATCTAGAAAACCTTTTTGTAATTGATGCCCAGTGAAAATATAACAAGTATCCAAAATAGTACATAAATAGGTAATATAACAAAGTGGTAAGCATTCTCAAAATCAAGGAAATGGTCCAAAATTGAGCCGTTTGAAGCATTTTTTTTTTGCGGGGGGGGGGGGGGCCTCAGTCGGTGGCCCCCAAAACCCCCGCCTCCTCTATCCTTTACCCCTAGTTACGGCCCTGATTGTTCGTAGGGGAACTGATGTTCGTTGATTTCGTTGGTAACCTTTATCCTCGAATTTCCATCCCTAACAATTTTTATTTGTTTATATACCTCCTCATAACATTTTGCGTTGATTTTAAACTAAATCATTTAATAATAATTACAAATAAATTTTCACATAAACGGTACACGAACGCTACACGGTTTGCACGAAACGCTGCACGGTTTACACGAAACGCTACACGGTTTGCACGAAACGCTAAACGGTTTACACGAAACGCTTTGCACGAAAGGCTGCACGGTTTACACGATAGGCTGCACGAAACGCTTTGTACACGTTTCTCACAGCTTTGTACACGATTCTCGCACGTTTTGGCCTCGTTTTGGATTTTTCTACTCGGAATATCTCGGGCATTATTACTGTTTTATCATTAATTCAATGGAAATCTTTCACAAAGCCACAATAAGCAGCTGTTTTAATTAAATTTCAGTACACTTGTATTAAATAAACTGATCTAATACTCTGACAGTTGTAATTAATTGATAAATAATTGTAAGTTCGAGTTTATTTATTTATTTATTTATTCAACTGTTTAAAAACGAAATGCTAATATCATGAATGACTCTTTAATAAAATACAATTTTTATATACAGGTATTAGTCATTCATTTCAATGTAATATTTTTATACTCATAAATTAAACACAAATTCGGAAAAATAATTTTTAAAAAATATTGATTATATTGTGTTTGATTTCCGTAGGCGGATTATTTTTCGTGGTTTGATTTTAAATTAGTAATACAATTTGCCTATATACTAAACTAACGATTATTGATACATTTTTAAAGATTTCAAGCATTATCAATAGGAGGGAAACCGGTAAAGGGGGGAGGGGTTAATGTGATCTATTAATCTGTTCTATTCTCTTTCTCTTTTTACCTGAAGCTTATCAAATAACATCAGTATACCCATCATACTGTAAAATCCTTCATTTGAAACAGGACTAAACGTATATATGTGTAAATTT